CCAAGTGCCACGTCCCTGCATCAGACGGGCCAGCCAGGACCGGACCGCGGCCCGAGTCCCGACAGACCCCAATGCAATTCGGATCCTGAATGCCATTCGGGTCTAGGAGAATCAGCTTTACTATTAATATCTGTATATGGTTTTCTGTGGTATTCGTAACGAATATTCGTAAACTCATCCGAAACTAACGAAAATTCGGATTTCATCTGAATCCGAAACGGAATTGAATTTTGGATCCGAATCCAAAAATAACTAAATATCCGAACCGAACTGAATTTTTCTGCAGCTTACATGTCTAGCTTACACTACAAGTGATTTAGGCAGCTGAATTCCTGGGCTATGCTGCCCTTCCTACGGGCCCAGCGTCAGAGTATTGGCAGGTAGAGAAACCAGTGAACATTTGTGCGCTGATCTCCTCCTCGCTGAATGAAGCCTGGAAGTGATGATGATTTAATCACTGCCAGTTCCTGAGCTGTCATTCCCTGGCCAGATAGGCCGGGGAAGAAGCTGATCAGGCACGATCTGTGGGCAGCAAAGGTAACATTAGGGGTCTAATAGACCCCTATTCTCTCCTTAAAAAGCACCTGCCTTACTTAAGTACTATTAGAAGCTCAGAAGCCACCATATGTGATACTAATGAAGTAAAAAGAAGGATGTTTTAAGTCCCCCCGCATATATTAAAGCCTGGGTGCACCTACATATGACAACGACCATTGCACCACATGTTAGGTATCGTCATGTATATGCCAGAGTAAGAACTATAATTCTAGAGCCATTAATGACAGTTAACTCTAAACTGATGACCTGTACAGGCCTTTCAAGTGTCAGCTATGGATAATTTGGGGTACCGTAGTTTCTCAGGCGCACACAATTTTTAAGCTCTGCATGTCGGGTATCTATTTACTCAGCACAACCTCCTCTTTTATATTTTACCAATAAAATGTGTATTAAAAACATTTTGCGTACTAAAATTAACTTAAGTGTATTTTATACTGAAATTTTGGGTTTGATAAACAGACTAATATCATGCAACATAAAAATCTGCTGGTGGGGGGGCTTACATTATTCTCGGGCCTAAATTGTGGATTCTAACGTGTGCAAAAGAAGTAAAAACAGCCCTGGCAGCAAAAGGGTTAAACCGTTGCCTCTAGACAGTTTGGGGTACTGTTGTTGCTTTGCTGTTTCGTGGGGTGCATGCAGATTTTATTTGCTATATGTCTACTCAAAGCAACTTTATCTTTTGTATTTATTTTACCAACCAATGCATATTATATTGTGTTTGTGTGTACTGATAAAAATATGTTTAGGGGTTTATGTAATGTTCAGGCCTAAAATGTGCATTTCAACCTGTGTGCAAAAAAAATGAAAGGGTTAAGTGAAGCCTCGTTCTGAACACTGATCTGGAAACTAGCCGGGCCTCCTAACTGAACTGTAAACGTTATCATAACGGTGAACTGGCCCTGCAGCGCTCTCACAGCGCACAGCCACGCCTCCGACTACACCGGACTTGCGTCACGGGCGGTCCACGCATTTCCGGGAGGACGACTTCCGGAGGACGACTTCCGGGAGGACGGTTGTTTCCGGATCCGTGTACACAACTTGTAGAAGCTCAGGAATGGCGCCTGTATCTCGGTCTCGGAGCCCCGGCTCCCCCCGGAGGAGGCGACATGACAGCGGGTCTCCGGACAGGAAGTCGGTGAGGTCTCGCTCCAGAGACCGAGGAGTCAGCATTGGGCACCGGCGCAGTAACTCCAGAGATAGACCTCAGTTCAGCAGGCCGCATTCCAGCAAACAGTGGGGGGAGTATTATGAGAAGGGGAAGGAGGAGGTCCTCAGACAGAGGCAGGAGGCCTTTATAGCCCGGTAAGTGCCGATAGGGAGCCCTCCATCTACTGTGTATTGTGGTCTTACTGCCATTAGCCTCTTGGTCACTACAATACACAATTTTCAAATGGTATTAAATCCTTCTGTTCCCCAAGACGGTGACACCTTGGCTTCTGTTTAGATCTGCCATAGTGCCGGGGTTTGAAAGTCAGGTTGCCAGCTGATATAACACATAAGAAAACAACACTTGTGTTTGATTAACACTTTCCCAGCCAGTTCACACATGTATGCGGTCGCTTTAATACCCAGCTGCTGCATACATGTACACAATCATTGTGCTGTGCTGGAAGCATGCTCCCTGCGATTGAGCTACCACCGCCTGCTTCTGGTCACTGTTTTCAATCAAAAGCTGGGCACTGGAACCCGATTATGTGATGGTGACTGGCTGTCACAGTGATCGCATGATTGGCAGCACGTCCTCGGCTTCCATCGTTCAGGAGAGGTTGAAGGTCATGAAAGGGTTAATACTCCTATATCTGTACACAGGGGAAACCTCCACCTATTGCCTATTAGGAGTGTCACTGTGATTTGTTTGCTTATCTGTGTATTAGGGTGCAGTTTTATTAATGCTTAAATTATATTACTGGGAACTCCTCCATCTACTTTGTATTAGGGTGTCTGCCATTAGTTTGTTTCTGTGTATTCGGGTTCATTCATATTAGTACTGTCATTATTTATCTGTGTACACAGGAAAGGTCTGGTTTAAGAATGTTAAGCTGGTCATATGCTCCTGCTGACTCAAAATTCAGCCAGTGTGTGGCCACATCAGGACTCCTTTTTGTTTGGCACAACTCAGTTTTTCAATCGTCTTATGTTGACAGAGTGGAAAATTATCAGCCGAACAGCGATTGTTTTCACCGATTGGCATTCTGACAGCAGCTTGCATGTACCTGTCGGGATACTATATCTCGATGGGGCATGCCTCCAGTTAGCATTTTTTTCCTCCACCCCACGCAGTTTTCTGTGCGGAAGACCACGCAAGCGCTAAAGTTTTTCATCTGCATGGATTCCGCTCATTTGCGGCTTTTACTATAGCCGCGGACGTGCGGAATCCGTCAAAAATAAATCACGCTTGGGCTGTTTTGCAGGCCGTGGGGTTTTGTATCACGCAGCCGATGCAAAAGTCTGAACAATGTACATTAAATGTGCATTTATTTATTTTTAATGTGCGGTCGAATACGCGCGGACAACCACTGCTGTGTGAACGGAACCTTACTGTCATTTGTTTCCTTATCTGTGTATACAGGAAAGTCCCCCACCTAGTGTGTTTTTGTGGTGTAATTGTTATTTGTTTACATATTTATGTATGCAGGGAGACACTGCTCCTACCCAAGTGGTGGAACTGCACTATTGTAAAATGGGGGGGGGGGGAAATGCATCAAAACATATAAACCATAATGCTGGCCTCTTAAATATTCCATTAAAAGTATTTTGTCTGTTCAAAAAGTGTAAAACATACCTGTTGATCCTGCCAGATATCCAGTGAGCTTAAAAGTTCCTGTAGCGACCTTAACATGCTTCACTAAACTCTCAATGTTATCGGCGCTGCTCAGGTCAGCTTTGTGAACTACAGAACACCTCCCCCTGTGTTAGTCTTGGCATAGATGGTCCATTCTGACTATACATAAAATCTAATTTTAGAATTAACAGTTCCAGTTGTGACAACTGGTCTGTCAATGATTATTTTGCAACCAGTTTTGTCACCTCCCTTCTGCCGACGTCATTACACCTGCACTTTATTCAGCGCAGGACAAACAGCAGGATGGGATGTAGCCTCTTCTAAGAGTTCTCGCCCACAGTTCAACGCTGGAGACCAGACTGCCAGCTTTTTTAATTGTTGATTTTGTGGCCAGAGTTTGTCTTTTTTTTTGTCTTGGGTGTAAATACACTTTAAAGCAAAATAAAAATGTAATGCTTTTCTGCTCACCAGTCCTTAGATGTGGTGGTGATGTTAGTTTTCCCTTTTCTGCCCTTTTCCACCTGCTTATCCTGCCAGTAACACACTTCACGTCCTAGGATGGCAACGCTTTTCATAACATGGAGAAAGGGTTCTGTAGTCTATGAAGAGGATCAGGTATTTGTAACTCAGCGCATTGAAGTGCAGCAGAGGCTGGGATCACACTACGTTATCAGCTCACACGATTTCTGCCAGGATTAACAGGTATTTTTGGCACTTTTTTTTTTTTTTTTAACAGATATGACAAAGCACTTTAATGGTATATTTAAAGAAGAACTCCAGGAATATTTTTTAAATTTGTTATTAACTCTTGCAGTGGGGCTACCCCCGCACTGCAAGGGTTAAGTGCTCATTTGTGTCTAAGAAAAAAAGGTATACTCACCCGAAGCTCCGAGCCGGCTTCTCTCCCCCTCCTCTGCAGCGGTTTAAGCTCCTTTTAACAGGCCTACTCACAAAAGGGTGAAGAGTTTGGAGAAGGCAGGAGAAGTGAACAATCCAGGACAACATAGCTGAACTGGAAAGTTTGCAGAATTAGATAATTTTTCCAAATCTGCTATTTTGGACTAGATTTGTTTTTCTCCTGCCTTCTCCAAGCTCTTCACCCTCTTGTGAATAACTCTGTAAATCATCACATCTACACAGAGCATATAGACGTGAGGATGCTGAGGAGGATTCTAATGCTGCAGGGAGGTGGAGACGGGCTAGAGGGAGCGCTGTGCCAGCTCGGAGCTTCCGGTGAGTATACCTTTTTTTTCTCAGTTTCTCTTAGACACAAACAAGCACTTGACCCTTGCAGTGCGGGGGTAGCCCTACTGCAAGAGTTAATAAAAAAAATCCTGGAACTTTTTTTTTCCCGAGAACTCCAGCAAATGGATTATGAAAATAATTGTTAGCTGTAGCCCTAAACTTAACCTTCACAGTGTGGGGGCAGCTCCACTGCAAGGGTTAATAGAAAAATATCCTGGAGTTCTTCTTTAACAGACCAAAAGGGAGCAAATTAGAGAAGCACACTGTTAGAGGTCACATACACTTCAAGTTAGAACCTCCTGTATACGACATTGTTTATAAGTAGCACAATAAAGATTTTAAATAATGCATTTATAACATGCTTTATTCATTCTAAATGTTTTTTATTTGTGTTTTTTACCCTTTTAGACGTTTAAATGAAAGGGAGCGGATTGGGGAGTTGGGAGCTCCAGAAGTTTGGGGTCTTTCACCCAAAGTCCCAGAACTTGAGTAAGTTTATATCTGCTTTCTTATTTAGTTTAGTAATAGGGATGTTCGGATACCAGTTAATTTTCATGAGAACTACCAAGGTCACATCGGTTGCAGCTGCGACTGGACACTGGCGCCCCACCATCCTGAAATCATTCGTCGGTATTGTTTTAGAAAAACTGTCACATGACACTAAACAAAAATGTATCAGTACTTGTATCTGTGAGTACTTGGACAAGTATCAGTACTTGGTCTGGGGAAAAATTGGTATTGGTGCATCCCTAAAAAACAAATCGTACATTAAATCAGGGATGCACAAGTCCCAGGAGCCCTGTAGCCAATGCTCCCTAAAAATGACAGCTGCCTCCTAGCTTTTGAGTTTTTCTCTAGTGTTGTTTCGGAGCTGGAAAAGTATGTGTACATGTACTTGGTATCTGAACATCCCTAATTACTAATAATGAATTCTTTTACTCAGTCATATTAATATATCTTGTTTTTAGCTCAGATGAACACACACCTGTAGAAGATGAAGAAAAGTCTAAAAAATCCAACAGCTCTGATTCTTCTTCAGAAGGTAGATGCATGTACTTTTTTGCCTCCTTATTGCACATGTAAAACTATCACTTTGATCTGTTTTGGTTACATTTTCTTTAAATGTGTCTTTGTAGAGGAAAAGAAGAAAAAAAGGAAAAAGAAAAAGAAGAGAAAGTCAGGAAAAAAGAAAAGTAAAAAGCACTCCGAGGAAAGTGAGAGTGACTCTGAGTCTGAAAGCAGCGGTAATTATTCATAGTATGTAGAGTCCAGAAATATTGGTTTCCAGAATTGCAGGAGGGGAGACCAGTCATCTACACACACCTCCCTTCCCAGTATCCATGCCACCAGTCATATCTCCACCTCAGTCCCCACTGTCCACACGCCATAGCTAGCATTTGGAAGGTTGATTTTGCTATTTCCTGAAATTCCTTGTTGGTTCATTAAGTGATGAAGAGGGTTCCCTGCCTAGCAGAGGTGGTAGCAGGCATCTTGTTGTGTCTGCTCCTGGACACCACTTTTGCTTCAGATGGCTGATGCAATTCTTATATTTAACTTCCATGTTCAGCAGGTGTAACAGAGAGACTTTTGATGCTTTAAAGGAAACTATGGGGTTACGGCTTTTCCCCATAGTTCTCCTAAGGGTAATGGGAGGACACAAACTAGGGTCCTCCCGTCACCCAAAGCTCAGTATACTGAGACGCCGCAGCCGGAACTGATCCCCACAATTATGTCTGGATCCACCCAGCTGCGTGAGTGACAGCTGGCTCTGCCTATCTAGAGGCAGAGCCAGCTGTACTCACCCCATCCGTTCCTCCAGTCAGCGCTGGAGGATCGGACAGGGGTGTAAAACTATCACTTTGATCTGTTTTGGTTACATTTTCTTTAAATGTGTCTTTGTAGAGGAAAAGAAGAAAAAAAGGAAAAAGAAAAAGAAGAGAAAGTCAGGAAAAAAGAAAAGTAAAAAGCACTCCGAGGAAAGTGAGAGTGACTCTGAGTCTGAAAGCAGCGGTAATTATTCATAGTATGTAGAGTCCAGAAATATTGGTTTCCAGAATTGCAGGAGGGGAGACCAGTCATCTACACACACCTCCCTTCCCAGTATCCATGCCACCAGTCATATCTCCACCTCAGTCCCCACTGTCCACACGCCATAGCTAGCATTTGGAAGGTTGATTTTGCTATTTCCTGAAATTCCTTGTTGGTTCATTAAGTGATGAAGAGGGTTCCCTGCCTAGCAGAGGTGGTAGCAGGCATCTTGTTGTGTCTGCTCCTGGACACCACTTTTGCTTCAGATGGCTGATGCAATTCTTATATTTAACTTCCATGTTCAGCAGGTGTAACAGAGAGACTTTTGATGCTTTAAAGGAAACTATGGGGTTACGGCTTTTCCCCATAGTTCTCCTAAGGGTAATGGGAGGACACAAACTAGGGTCCTCCCGTCACCCAAAGCTCAGTATACTGAGACGCCGCAGCCGGAACTGATCCCCACAATTATGTCTGGATCCACCCAGCTGCGTGAGTGACAGCTGGCTCTGCCTATCTAGAGGCAGAGCCAGCTGTACTCACCCCATCCGTTCCTCCAGTCAGCGCTGGAGGATCGGACAGGGGAGGGGGGAATCTAGTCCCTCCCCTGTCACGGCTCTCTGCCGACACAGGATTGAGAAGTGAGCTGGTATGTGTTCGCTCACGTCCCGATCTACTGAGCCGACTTGTGACAGTCTCATTGTCACAGGTCGGCTCAGATTATGAGGCTGTGTAAAAAGCACTCGCCTCATAATTTTCCTTTAATAAAAAGCAGCAAACATAACTAGACTCCTAGCATTATTTCAAGTCATTTTTTTTATAGCCAAATGTTGTTTTTTAAAATTCAGATTCTGTATTTTTAAAATGTCTTGTATTTTTACAGATGGGATGAAAAAAAAGAAATCAAAGAAAAAGAAGAAAAAACATCGAAAGTAAGTGTGTGTGTTTTTTTGTTCTTTTATTTTATTTTTTTAAAATCCTGCCTACAAAAACACTTTAACGGGCCCCTTTCCATTTTGTGCTGCCTTATTTAATTTATTAGGACCTGACTTCAAGGCTATACCCCGTGGCTTGCCATTCCATTAGCGAGATTGCCTCACTGGCTCCGGAGGGCACAAACAATCAGTGGGCAGGGGGATAACCGTTGTTGAAGCTTAACAATCAAGTCAGGGGAATTGGCAGAATTTACTTTTTAAAAGTTTAATCAAGTGGTTTTTGAGAAAGATCCGCAAACTAGAATTCACACTTTGTACAGACTTGGATCTCTTTGATGCCAGTTATGCTGGGAGCTGTGTATAACGTAGGGTTCTCATAAGCCATAATGTAATATATCTTCATACCTTTTCCTCTGCCGCTTTCCCATAACCTAATCCATCAAGGGTAATATGTATTAAACTTGCCTATAAGCTAGTCTGGGCTTCTGTGGCTGCTGCCACTTAAGCACAGCTGCACTGGTGGGTCACATGGTCTTTGTTAGAGTGCCATGAACCACAGATTTTGCCTTTCGACAGTGACTACATGTATTATACTGGCGGCTGTGTTCTGAGCCTGGCCCATTACTTCTAGTAGATGGATTTGGGACCCCTCCTGCTGTTATGTGGGCCTGGACACTTCTCTTGTAGAGCAGGCGAGAAGCAGAACGCACTCATGAATCCATAACTCTGCTTTGTAATATATAAGTAATGTTAGGCAGTGGCAATGCCTTCACTCCCTGCATGGCCAGCACTGAGGCATAAAGAATGCTCCTCCAGTTTGGGCTGGCAGTGAAGGACTATTTGCTGTCTGACATTGTTTGCATGTTAACAATGAAAGAATTTTAGGGTATCACAAATCATGTCTATTTTTCTATCTGTATATCTAACCTTTCTTGATCTCTAGCATATTAGAGCTCTCCGCTACAGGATGACCTCTTCTTGGTAAATACCAATTAGGAAATTGGTCTGTGGTTTCATGGAAGGCTGGCACGAGGAACGTTTGTAGACAGCTTATTGAACCGCCGGAAATGCTAATTCTCTTTTTTTCAGTATTTACTAAGGCACTGACAAGTGTGCAGTAAGAAAACTCAGAATTTCTGATGTGCACAACTTGGTCAGTGACTCAGTGTATTAAAGGCTGAAGAATAGCACTGCAACTAGGCAACATTTATTTTCAGGAGGCTCCAGCTTGTAAGCACTAGTCTGAAGAGCAGTGTTTAGAGCAAATGTTTTCAAGGCCTGTAGCCATCTTTGGACAGCATTCTTTAAGCAGCTAAAGCAGCCTACAGCTCCAGTTTGCAGATGTCAAACACGGATTCTAATAGGGACACTGGTTGTTGCTTTGTTTACATGCTTACCGTTTTCCCTCTCGTGTGCGCGCTGAGTGCCGCACACTAGAAGGGGGAGGGGGCAGGACGTCCTAGCAGACGTCCGTCCGGCCGTTCACAAACGGCCATGGACGGAAGGTAGTTAAACAAGCCAGTATCAACACTACTTGAATTGTTGAGATCCATTTACTTGGTGTATCTGTTTAGAACTTTCTCACATATTTAAGTATATTCTTCTTTCTATTAGTGTTCTTTTTTTCAATGTTCCCTACAGGAAGAAATCAAAGGGAAAGAAAAGTAAGAAACATAGGAAAGAGTCAAAGTCAAGTGACTCTAGCAGTGAAGAATCCGATGATGATGATGATGATGAACAGATGCAGGAAGATAGCTGGGTAGAGCAAAGTAAGTGTTTTTTAATTTTTTACTTATTTATTTAGCACTTTGGGACTGATTTTAGTACAGGAACATTTTCGTCTTTGTCCAAGTTCACTTCAGATGCCCACTCAGGTCCAGGTTGGGGCTTAAATGTGCCCCAGATCAGAATATATATTTGACATCAACATTGCTTTGGGTGAAAGTTTTGCCTTTTTGTTGAAATCGAATTCCAACTTGCTTCTTCTTTTTTTAATTTTTTAGTTTGGTAAGTGAAATAATTTTACTCAAGGGGAGTATAGACAGCAGTAAAACCCTCACAGAGCTTGTAATCTTTCCAAACACCATCCAAAATGTAAGTGTGAGGCTGGACTTTCAAATCTTTTATAAAAAGGCTCATTGAAAATGCTAAACTATTGAAGTTCTATAATATGGACAAGCGGCTCTTTTGGGCTTTTTTTTTAATGTCTTTAAAAAAAATTGCACTCTCTTCTTTGGGGCCTTGCTGTTTTTGAATTCCTATTTAAAAAATGTTTATGTGTTACTGTCCACAGAAGCTAACCTGGATGATACTGAAATAGTAGGACCTGAAGCTCCAATAACACATCTGTCACAAGACGATAAGCCATTAAAGTAAGCAGCTGATATCTTTTCTTCTTTTTTTTCCTAAGCCTTACCCTTCAGCTAAAACCATTGATTATGTAAGAAATGCATATGAATAGTTAAATAATACATGTGGGGTTATTTCATGAAGCAGTGTAGACTGCGTTTTTCTACAAGGGGGAGGCACCCTATCAGTTGAAATTTTCGATATTGTTTTTTGCCTTCTTAATTGTGTGATTATTGTATTACATTGGTTTACCACGTAAAGCCTAATACATATATTCACTAGAGGTGCATCGAAATAGAAATTTAAAAACCGAAACGAAACCGAAATAAAA